GAGGATACACGGTGTGTGTGATTCCACTGATGGGAAACGTCCAGAACAGGCAAGTGCACAGAGACAGAGAGTGGGCTCCTGGTGGTCAGAGGCTGGGGGAGGGGGGGGGGGGGGGGGTCATGGGGGAAGGCGCTGGGAGCTCAGGAGCTGGGCCCCAGGCACACAGGCTCTGGCTTCCCTCTGGCCACGGAGGCCCTCCCCGCAGCCTGAGTGGCTATCGGAGCCCCCTCTAAGGGCCCGGGGCAGTACGCCGCCACCGGGGAGGGACAGCGAGGGAGGAGGCGATGGGCTCCAGCCATACCTGGGCACCCACAAAGCCAGCCCTCAGCTTGGGGATGTTGGTGTGCGTGTGGGCCAGGCTGGTCAGGTTGGCCCTCGGGTCCTGAAGCTGATTGTTGAACAGTTTCAGCAGCTGCCAGGGCAGGTCATTGTGCCTGGAGGGGCCAGGCGGAGGGGTCAGGGGCAGGTCAGGATGGCCCCTCAGAGCCGGGCCCCCCGGGCTCCCTCCCGGGCAGGCTGTCCCCTCTCCAGCTCCGCTTCTCATGGGCCGAAGACTAGGGAGGTCGCAGGGTGACTCCTGTCATCTGAGCACACCTGAGCACAGGTGAGCTTCTCAGCTGGCCGCACCCCCAGGCCAGGCCGCTGAGCTGAGCCCTAAGTGGACAGGTCTTCCCTCCCGGAGCCTTTCATTGCGGGGAGAGGGAGGGCAGATGCCGGCTTGGCTTCAAAATCATGGAGGTCGGGGGAGCTTGGAGTTGAAACAATCTCCATGAACAAGGCTGGTTGACATGGGGTTGCTGAGGGTAGGCCTGGGGGAGATTCACAGATTAAAGATGAAATCCTGGGCTTCCCTGGTGGCGCAGTGGTTGAGAGTCCGCCTGCTGATGCAGGGGACGCGGGTTCGTGCCCCGGTCCGGGAAGATCCCACATGCCGCAGAGCGGCTGGGCCCGTGGGCCGTGGCCACTGAGCCTGCGCGTCCGGAGCCTGTGCTCCGCAACGGCAGAGGCCACAACAGTGAGAGGCCCGCGTACCGCAAAAGAAAAAAGATGAAGTGCTTCGGCTGCAGGGAGAGGGTGGGGAAGTGTGGGGCGTGGCCTACCCTGGGGGGCAGCCATGGGAGCAGGGCACCAGTGCGGGATTTGGGGGCCCCAGAGGCCCTCTGCTGCCTCTGTCCCTGCGGACAGTCCTGCACCATTTCCAAGAAGATCCCTCTGTGCTTCCAAAGGACAGGCCCTCTGAAGTTCTCCCAGGAGCCGGTAGGCGGTGAGTGCACTGGAGGAGGAGGTGAGGTGCGGGCAGAGGAGAGGTGGGGACTAGACAGGCAGGACGAGGGGCAGGGGACAGGGAGGGCTCTCAACAGCTGCTGGGGGTCTTCCAGGGCAGGACCCATGGGGCACATTCCTCCCTGCATCCAGGAGCAGCCCCAAGGGGAGAGACCGCTGGGAGCCATAAGCTCCAGGTGCCGGCAGGGGCCTCGGCCCCTGGGAGCTGATTAGAATTTCAGAGTCTCAGGCCCAGCCCTGGCCCACCAGTCGGCATCTGGCTTTTACCAGCCAACGGGCACACACGCCCGGGACATGCAGGGAGCCGACCAGCAGATCCCTAGCCTGGTGACAAGGGGGCTGTGAGGACAGCCCGGAGGGGGCTTTGCTCCCACTGCAGGCCCTCCTATCCACTCCTCCTCTCCAGCCCAGCAACCATGCCCACCCTCCCCAGGACCCTCGCCCACACCTAGTTCCCACCCCCAGCCCTGGCTCCCTCCCCGGTGTCTGTTTCCTCATCTGTAACACACACACACACACACACACACACACACACACACACGGGGCTGCCTTGTGAGAGTCACTGACAATGTTAACACCGTGACGGCCCAGGTTGTCCGGCCCCCTGGGGTGGGCCCTTCCACAGCAAGGTGGCCATGGCCCCCGGTGGGAAGTGAGGGGTCCCTGGGCCCCACACAGGGCTCCAGTTCCTGGAAGTTGCCCCTGGTCTCCTGAGGAGCTCCTGCCCCAGCTGTGAGGTTTGACTGCTGGGCATGGGCTGGTGGTCAGGACGCCTTTGCTGACTGAGGGGTGGATGAGCTCCAGGGAGGCGAGGTCACTGCCTCACTGCAGAGCTGGGGGAGGCTGGCCCTGGTCACTGTCCCCGAGGCAGCGCTGAGCAGGACTTCACTCCTTTGCTCCTCTAGGAAATCCAGCCCCACGCGCTCCAGCTGCCTCCACTTTGCTCTTCCCTCCTTGCCTCCGCCTGTCCTCCCTTTGTAGGTATCCGCGCTAAGGTCAACACCACATCCTGCAGTCTGTTCTGGAGCCTGACGGATCTACCCTCCTTATCTGTGTGGCCTGGGTAGCATCCTCAGCTGTGATAGAGGACCCTGTCATCCTACCCAAAGAGGGGAGGGGAGGATTCCGAGTGCTGGGAAGTGCTAGAAATGACAGCCAAACACACACTTAGGCCAGCTATGGCTTACAGATGTGATGGCTGGAGCTGGTGCAGCCACATTAAATCACGGGGGTAACTGTGGGAATGGTGGCCACACCATTATGGAATGCTGTGCCAGGACTCCGTCTGGACTTCTCTGTTGTTAAAGCTACTTATTTGGGTCTCTCTTACCCACAGGAGTAGCTAATACTAACTGGGTTTGATTCTGTCAGCCTAGTCTTGGCTTTCTACATCTTTGGATAATCCCAGCTCCCTGAGTACTCCTGGCTGTCTGGGCTCTTTGAGCCATCTTACCCCTCACATGGACCTCTGGACAGCTCCCAGCACCTAAACTCAGACCCCCTCTCCCTGTGCCCAGCTGCCCTGAGTCCCCCGGAAGGAAGGGACATTCATTTTGTTGGCATATTCTACCTGCCCTTGCTGGCCTGGGATGCCTGGTCCCTGAGCCCAGACCTGCCAGACAGCAGGGCCTCCCGGATGGGAGCAAAGGACAACGGCCTCTGCAGCAAACTTCCTATGCCTGTGAGGAGACCCAGCCATGTGAGGACCCTCAGAGGCAGGCAGGGGGATGGGAGGTCCAGGAAGGAGGGAGAGGGGAGGGACCAGGGGAGGACTGAGGGAGGGAAGGGTACACTCTGACCCCAGACGGCCGCTTCCTTATCTAGGGCTGCCCCTCACTTCCCTGCCAGTCTTACGTGATGAGACACCTGTTTTCTCTGCTTTTCTTGCAGAGCTTTTGTCCCATAAAGCCTGGGCAAGTGGGTACCCCAACTTTCCCAGCACCCGGTGGGAGAGAGCAGGTGGGGTGGGAGTGTGTGTGTACAGGTGGCATCCTTCCCAGGGCTGGGAGAGCCCCGAGGAGGTGGGGGCGGGCGTGGCAAGGGCAGTGCCAGGCCTGACTGCAGCGTCAAGGGGCCCTGGGGGCCGCTGGGAGGACTCCGGCTACTGCTCTGAGCTCTGTGGTAGTTGGAACTGGAAGGGCAGGGGCTGGTACTTGTGTCTCCAAGACTTCCTCTGGCTGCAGTGCAGACGGCTGACCTCAGGCCAGGGGCAGGAGGGGGCAGTCAGAGGCACAGGGGCGGGGGTGGAGGGTAAGTGAAGGGGGCAGGCGCGGCCAGGTTGGCTGTGACATCAGGGAGAGTGACAAGGTGTCACCAGGGTCTTAGCTGGAAGGGGGGCAGGGGGAGTGGACACCCAGGAGCTTGGCCTGGGGCACTGAAGTGTGAGATGCCTCGGTAAGGTCAAGCCGGGCACACAGGTCTGATGGGGTCACCCCAGGTGGATGGAGCGAGGGGTGGGCTTGACGAGAGGGTCTCGGGAAGCAGGGTCAGGAGGGCCGACAGGGTCCCCCAAGGGCCAGAGCAGACACCACCCGCACCTGCACTTCCTGTGACACAGGACCCTGGGCCAGGCCCCAACGGCCCCCAGCCCCAGCCCCACTCTGAGCTGGGATCCAGCCCCCAGGGCTCCAGGCTGTGGGGTGTCCGGGAGCTGCTGAGGCCTTGGGGGCCTCACTATTCACCTCCTTCCTGCCGCGTTCCCCACAGGCCCTCATGTACGGAAGTCTCTGGGACCCTGAGAGAGCCCACAAAAAAACTGAGTCCAGCAAAGGGCAAAGGCCGTAGTGCAGCTGGAGAAACTGAGTCCCATTGGAGACAGGGCAGCTCCTGTCTCAGGTCAACGGCACATGAGCCTCGAACCTAGCTCCCCCCGCCCGGACCCCCGGGCCCGTCAGCTGGGTGGCTGCTTACCCGTCAATGACAGGCGCGCTCTGCATGATCCTCTCCGCTGTGTCCCGGAACTGGTCCGCAGTGCAGACGGCCACCAGGGCCCAGAACCACAAGCTGGCCCACATGGCGCGGTCCCCAGGGATGCGCTCCCCTGCTGCTCCTGTGCGTGTGTCCTGACTGGCCGTCCTGGGCGCCACAAGACAGAGGGCTTTGGTCCAGGTGATTGCTGCCAGGACCTCCCCTGTTTATCAGTAATCAGCACATTCCCCACAAGGGTGGATCCCTGGGAGTTCCTAGCCCCTGAGGCTGGGCGTCGCTGTCTGGGCCAGGCCAAGTGTAGTAAAACCCCAGGGGCGGGGCGGGTGCCCAGAAGTGGGGCAGAGGATGGGCTAGCGCAGGGAAAGGGGCCACCAGTGTTTGTTGTGTCCTGCCCCCAGGACCCGGTATCTGAGGTCTACAAACAAGATTCAATTTTGTGTCCTTGAATGTACCCCTTTGTTTGCCTGTAAAGTAGTTTTTTGTTACTTTTCTTGGAAGGTGGAGCACAGCCCCGCAGGGGCACTCCCACCACACCCCACCGCAGTGCTGGGGGCATCTGCACACTGACCCACGCTCCGCACGTTGGATGCTGGGGCTTGGGGTCGGAAGCCTGGAGCGTTTGCATTTCCTTAGAACTGGGGGCACACACTCAGGTCTCCCGGGGGAGGCAGGGGTTGGAGGGTGGGGGGCACGGTTCTGAGAACCGGATGCCCAGGCAGCGCCGGGCCCAGTGAATCGTGAATCCCGGTCCCAGGTCTGGGCCAGCATCCAGGGTTCTGCTGGGCAGCTGGTGACCCCAGCCTGCTCTGGATCCTCAGGGCTGCTGAGCTGTGGAGACCCTACCCCCTCGCTGGGCTCCCTGGCACCTCTGTCCCTGGATGGCTTTGGACCCTCACGCAGACCTGCCCTGTGGAGCCCAGGTCCCAGGCCGGTGGCCTCCCCGAGCCCCGACCCAGCCCCAAGGACAGGACGGGCCCAGCTCCAGGCCCTTTCTCCAGCCTGGGAAGGGGGTCACGTCCGAACCCTGGCTCTGCCGTCATTAGCTCTGCATCCCGGGGTCTGGGCCTCCAGCCCCGTTTCCCTCCTGTTGAAACGGCAGCTCGCAGGGGAGACTGCGCAGAGGGGGGAGCCGTCTACCTTCCCTCCCTCCACCCACCATCACCCCGGGGGGAGGGGCTCCGGGGTGTCCTCCACCCAGATGCTCGTGGACGAGGCAGCTGGCTCCAGACCCCATCGAGGACTTGCCCCCGCTCCCCACAGGGGCATCCTCAGTGCCAGGCCCTGGAATTCCACCCTCTGCAGAAAAGACTCCCTTGAAGGGTGAGGAATCCAGGACTCTGACCACGCTGCCTGGCAACTGTGGCCCAGCAGGTGCTGGGCCAGCACATGGGCATTAAAGCCCAGTGTGTCCCTCTGCCACCCCGAGCCAGGACCCCGTCTGCCCTTTGCACTGTCCCCATGGCCCCAGCACCTCGACGGTCCTCCGTGCTCTGTGTCCAGCCCCCTCCACCTCCCTGGCCTGTCTCTGTGGCCCGACGCTGCTGCTTTGTGGTGGGCGGTGCCCATCTGCAGCTGTGGGGCTTCTCCCCGGAGCCCTCCTCTCTGACACGGCTGTGAGCACACGTCCCCCCTTGTTCACACCGGCCTGCTCCATTAGTCTCTACGTATTTTCAACATTTTCCCCTTATCGTTTTTGTTTCAGAGTTGGCTTTTCTTAAGAGCATGTAATTGTATTTTTTTTAATTTTCTTTTTTTTTTTTTCATGTGGACCGTTTTTAAGGCCTTTGTGGAATTTGTTACAATGTTGCTTCTGTTTTCCGTTTTGCTTTTTCGGTTGCGAGGCTCGTGGGCTCTTAGCTGCCGGACCGGGGATGGAACCAGCGCCCGCTGTGCTGGAAGGTGAAGTCTTAACCACTGGAGCGCCAGGGACGTTGCAAGAGCCTATAACTTTCTTCACCTCATCTGAGCGCCTCTGTCTGTCAACGTGAGCGTTTAAGCCAGTACGAGAGTGACCGCACTGCGTCCCCCCTTAGGCTTGCTGCTCCCCGAGCTGCGGCCGGCCGTGCTCCTCCCATTTCTTGCCTCTGCCGCGATCTTCGTGCTACTTTGATTCCTTTCCTACCAGGGTTAGAAAGTTCCTCTGCGTGTCACTGCTTTGCTAGTGTCTTCCCTCATACTTTGTAACAGTCGTATTTAAGTCTGTGTGTCTCTTTCAACATATAAACTCCTTAACACTGGAGTTACAGCCCACGGGGCATGACATTCATTTAAAGGTAGCCACACATTTCCCTAGGTTTGCTGTGTCTTGTATACCTTGTCTCCTCTCTCCTGAGATATTCGTTCTGATTTCTTTCTCATTTGTCTGCGGCGCGTCCTCGGCCATTTCCCTGGGTATAGTGGTATCCTGTGTGATCCACGTGTCTGCTTCCGTGGCTGAGGGGTCATCTCTCAGCACTGCAGCCACGACCCCCGCGGCAGACTGACTGCTCCTTTGTGAGCACGCGGGCCCTCCAGGTCTGCCAGGGTAAAGTTCTCCTTTCCCCTTCCACCCTCCCCAGGTGGCTCCATAGGTTTGTCTCTTTTTTTTTTTTGCGGTGCGCGGGCCTCTCACTGCTGCGGCCTCTCCCGTCGCGAAGCACAGGCTCCGGACGCGCAGGCTCAGCGGCCACGGCTCACGGGCCCAGCCGCTCCGCGGCACGTGGGATCTTCCCGGACCGGGGCACGAGCCCATGTTTCCCTTGCACCGGCAGGCCGACTCCCAACCACTGCGCCACCAGGGAAGCCCCATGGGTTTGTCTCTTTAAATCTGCCAGACACTTGATTTTGACCTTCTTTTCATTTTAAATTCAGAATTCATTTAATTGCTTAAAGGATTTTAAATTCTCTGCTCATTCCTCTAATATTTCATTCGTTTAACAGCCCAGTGGAAAGGAAGGAAGCAGAGGGGCCCATGGCCCAGTTGCACTGCAGGAGGGGGAATTTCAGTGTTATTTTCTCGTTGTTGCTGTGTCACCGAGGGACGGGACCCCCACCATCCACTCTGCACGTCACCTACGGACTCTCTCCTCCCTGGGGTAAGATATGGCCCCAGCCTCCCACCTCTGCAGCTCAGGTGCCCGGGCCGGGCGAGGGCAGGGAGAGCGAGGCACCGTCTCGAGGGCAAATTTCAAAGTGGGGACACTAGGAACCTCAGTCACGGAGGTAACTAGTATTTTAACGCAATATTTTTAAAAATCAAAAATTCCTGCCCCCCCAAGAAATCCATGATGAACGAAATGTGAAACTTTTAGATAGAGTCAAGGCCACATCTGACCGTTCCTCTGGTCCCAGCTCCCCCCACGGTTCCGCACAGCTGGTCTCACCGGGCCATTTACCTTAGGTTTCGTGATATCAGCTGCAGGACGCTCTTGCAAGTTGGTGACAGAGGCTGGCGTTTCTAGGAGCTAAACTGAGGGCGTGACCACACTCCCCAGGGTGACCCGAGCATGAGAAGACTCAAGGCTGGGTGCACCCTTGTTCAAACAGGAGAGGATGCCCAGGACGACGGCCCCGGAACATGACACCCAAAGGGCCCAAGTCCACATCCAGGAGGGCTCGTGCTGTGCAGCGTCTGTTCCACACCCTCTCTCTGGTGACCCACAGCCTGCAGCTGGCCGGGGCACGCAGGGTCGGGCTGCTGTGTAAGTGCTCACACTTCTCAGCCTCAGCATCCATCTGGAACACAAGTCACCGTGGTACCTCCTGCTGGGATCGCCACCCTATGGACCCATGGGTCAGGCCCCCGAAATCACCCTTGAACCTGTGTGCTCTGGAGTCTGGGGTCTCTGGTTGCACTTTTTTCCTTCCACTGGGTGCTGTTACCATGTCCTCACACTCTTCCAAGCTCTGCGCCTCCTACCTCACCGCCCCTGGCTTCGGATCTATGGTTCCCACTTAATTTCTGCCCTGAGCCCTCTGCCTTTCAGTTCATGTCGTTTTTGGTAGAGCTGGTCCCCAAACCACCCCTAGCAGTGGGTGTGCGGGAAGGGGATTTCCAAGTCCTGGAGTGTTTGCACATGACATTATTATGCCCTCGTAACTGAGCAGCAGTTTTACTGGCCATGCAGTTCTGAGTCATAAACCGTTTCCTCTCAGAAAGTGAAGGTTCTGGGGCCGCTGGCACCACACCATTGCCGGGAACCCAGTTCTTTGTAGGTGGCGTGTTGCTTTCTTGCACAATCTCCTTGAATCCCCTCTTTCTCCATGGGCTCTGCACTTTCTCAGTGTCGTGCCTCATTGGAGACTCTGTTTCATCCGACCGCCCTGCACCCACGTTCACCAGCTCTGCCTCTGGTCCCGGGACACGCCCTGGAATCCCTTCTCTCCTGCTTCCTCCACCCACTCCCCTGGGCACGGTGCTCAGTCAGATGCTGGACATCCCGCGTTGATCCTTTTTGTCTCTTGTGTATTTCTCTCCTGTTTTAGGTTTCCCTGTGCTTTTATTCTATGCGTTTCTGTTCTGTGAATTTATGAATAGAATAGAAATTCTGTTCTGTGAATTTATTCTATGAATTTCCTCAGTTCTGAATTCGAGCACCTTTATCCAAAGTTTTCTTTCAGGAATTATATACTTAATCTCCCAAGAGTGCTTTCTTGTGTTTCTGTTGGTGGTGGGGTTTTTTTTTTTACTTTGCACCTTGTTCTTTTTACGGAAGCCATATTGTCTGATATCAGTGAGAAGTTTTGTTTTCTCCTATTTACTGGATGATAATGTTTCCTCTGGACCTTTTTTTTTTCCATTGTTTATCTGGACCTTTTGTTGCATGTGCAGGCTGTCCTCAACCAGCTGGAGGTCTTTGTCACTTCAAACGTAATATTTAAGGATGTAGCCGTAGCCAGGCTGCTGTGCTGTGGATACACGGGCAGCCTCCCAGGTTCAAGAGGGGGGCCGCCATTACAGTGGGGACCCTTAATGTCAGTATCTAACATGAGCATGTCAATAGCAACCCTGATTCTCAAAACAAATGTTTTTTTAGGGAAGGACCCACTGGTGTCTCTTCCCCCAGAGTCAGCCTGGCCGTGGGCCAACCAGGGTTGTGCATCTGGG